GTGTTTCAAAAGGTACTGTTATGGAGAAAAAGAAAGAAAATGGAGTTTGGGAAGAGGGGATCAAATTTTTTAAAAAGCAACATCAACAAAGAGTTCATGAAAAAGTGACATTGTTAGCAACAAAATGAAGGAGGAAGAGAACAAGCAATAAAGTTATTTCAAGAAGGGTGCTCATGAAAACTAAAGAGCAGATGCAAAGTTACCGTATGTGGTCTTCCCTTGGAACTGCTGGTGATGTCTGTCTGTACAGAGGACACACACAGTGGAGCAGAAAATTCCAGCTGAGTTGTTCTCTAAAATACAAATGTTTTACTTCACCAAAGACTGGTTCAGCTCTACCTACGACTTTCCTACCAAGAATATCAAGAGCCTTTACTGGAAAACAGCAGTCAGTAGTTTGCAGCATCTCAAGAAGCATCAATAGGAAATACAGTAATACCTTACTTTGCAAGCATAATTCGTCCCGGAAACAAACTACTCATATTGCAAGACATCACTCATTTACCATGTTAAAACGTATTAGAAATGTTTGCTCATCTTGCAGAACACTCACAAACCAAGTTACTCGCAATCCAAGGTTTTACTGTACTCAGAAAACAGCACTTTGATTTGTATGGTAGCAGCCAGGTGGCTTAAAAGATATTTTCATCTTTTCCTGTACCCAGGAAATCCCAGAGAGTGACTAGGTGGTGGTTACCCGAACAGAGAAAACTGGAAAGGTTTGGGAACTTCAGATTTATGAAGACACAGCTGGAAGCTGGACTTGACGGTGCCATTTGCATGAGGGCCACGTGTTACACGTCACTTACTGACTGACTGTGGAGCTTGTGGATCACAAGCTCAGTGACTTATGAGAGATCTAGAATTATCCAATTGAAGCAGATCAGAAAGTACTGGTAGGTGGAGAGAAGCAAAAAAAGACTATGAATAGTGTGTGTTTACAGAGAAAGAAAATCACAGCTGCTCTGACTGCCTGTGTCAGTCCAGAGGGAAAGGTTAACATCTTCTGAAAGAGACCTTTGTGGGTTCCTAGTTCACAACCAGGGAGAGCCTCTACCTGATGGAGACCAGGAAAAGGAGCAGCTAAGGACAGGGGAAAGCTCCGAATTGTAAAACCTGGATCTAGGACTAACATGCAATATACAGGGTCCAGTACAAAGTAAAATACGAGTGATCCTTGTTCAAAAATTATTAAGAACTTCAACATGGTGACTGCAGGGCATTAAACCTAGCTTGAAGGACTTCCAAACACTAGGCTATGTCAACTGCACAAGTTGCCTCCCCATAAAGACAGACTAAGAGAGCAGACAGTGGGGCTATGGAAGGAGAAGGAGAGCACCTTAATTCCTGCTAAAAGAAGAAGAAAGATAGAAGAAGAAAATGAATAGAAGGATTCCTAACATGGGGCAGCACGGGTGAGCATGTCCTCAAAGGTAGCCCAGCTCAATTGGCTAGCTGTCTACATATATTTTGTAAGTCATTCAATTACAAGTGAATGAGAAAAGACTTTTTTTTTTCAGAATAAAAGAAAGTAGAATTAAGGGAAAACTTTCAGCAAGAATTCAGTATAAGAATGGTCCTTAAGCTTCTTGTTTTTTAAATATTAATCCCTTGAAAGATCTAATGAAACTATTGAAACCAGGGATCCTCAACCAGATAAATGCACGCATTAAAAATCTAACAACAACACTAACAAACAGTATATAAGAGGCTTATATGTTGCCTGGCTCTAACTATAAGAACTCATGTATTATGGTAAACTCCATCCCACATCTGAAAATGTCCTTACATTTGTGTGTGGTGCAGAATGTTGGCCTTTCTTGATTCTTTGCACCAGTGACAGGTCTTCAAAATATTGTCCAGGAAAATCAACAGAAATTGTAATAAGCCTGTTGTCAAGGAAATTAGTTAAAGTTCAGACTCTGCTACTGAAAACAGAAAGGATTGCATGCACATATTTGAGAAAACGGGGTACAAAATTTGTAGGCCTCGGTTTGAGATTTTAATACAATTTTTTCTTGACTAAAAATAAAGAGAATAAAACCACAAAAACTTACTTCTGGTTCTGATAAGCACCTAATTTTTCAGCCTCTGACTAGTTCATAGAGGCCTCTCTAAGCTGTAAAATGTGGCCATATTTATACAAGGTTGTGGGAGGTAGGTAATGCTCAGAAGGCAAATCTCAAAAGGATTTAAAAGTAGCAGCAGTGAGTGTTATATTGGGAATCGCCCTTCTTAGGTTTAATTGGAACACGGGGATCAAGAAAGCTAATCATATGCCTCAGTGATATTTTCCATAATTTCAAGTTTACTATTTGCCCTAAGAGCCTTGTGGAAAGAACACAAAAGGGTGTCATCTTGAAATTTTATGATGACCTGGTTGTTATGTTTTCTATTTCTTTTATACAAAAACTCTCCTCTCCTAAAGTCCAGAGCTCTGAGCAACATCCTTTCTGATGAACATCAATGTCTTGGACAGGGTCTGCCATGAACGAGACTCAGCAACACAGGTCATTGGCAGATATCTTGGTGACAGTTTCCTACGTGTGGACAGCTGTCCCAGAGCTAGTTTGATTGTTTACTGTAAGCCTAAGAAGTAAGTGCTTCATCCTAAAGTTTCAGCTAAATAAACAGAGGCTCTACTAAAAGAATAGTGATGGATAACTCACCTAGCACCGCATACCTAGTAAGCGGCGGGGTAGAATTTGGATTCCTGTCTTCACATACCGAGTTGACTACATTTTCAGTTGTGGGTAGCTACCATTCCTCAACCTATAGTCACAATTTGTCCTTCTTTACCTCACCTTTTAAAAAATATTTCCTTAGCTTCCTTCCAATCAGTACTTTCCTTAGTCTCTTAAGATTTAAGTGGGTCCTGATAATAGGATAGACTCAGATGAAAGGGAAGAATTGTTTAGACAAGACATGCAAAGAACAACCATAAAGAGAAGAATAAGAAATTTGAACTGTGTTAAAATGAAACACTTCTATACCAGCAAATATATTGTGCACAAAAATAAAATACAAGCTACAAACAGGTTGAAGATATTTGCATTGTACATATAATTAAAAGATTAGTACCTAGTACAGAATACATAAGGAGCTCTTACAAATGGAGAAAATAAAGATCAAATAACCCAGCTGAAAAATGAACAAAGAACGTGAACAAACAACTGGAAAAAAAAAAAGAGAAAGAGAGATGTCTTCAATTATCATCAAAATGTTTAAAAATACCTCACTTCACTGGTAATGATGACCCAACAACTTATACAAAAAATAAGAATTCATTTTGCACCATCAAACTGGAAAACATTTTAAAAGTCTGACAATATATTGTGTTGACAAGAATGTGAAGTAAAGGGCACTCTCATACATTATTTGCAAGAGTGCGAGCAATTTGGCTACATCTAACAAATTTAAAGATGCTCATATCTTATGACTCAGAAATTGCCATCATAGGTACATAGGTACATACATGAGAGGACCCTTTGAACTGGTACACATTCAGAATTCCAAAAGAAAATTTATTGCTGGATTTTTATATCAAAAATTAGAAAAACATAATTGTCCATCAATAGTATAATATATAAATATATTCTGACATATTTATATATTGACATATCAGTAAAAATTACTGCTACAAAACTCAGCATAAACAAGTCTGACAACATTTAGTGAGAAAATAAATTGCAGGACACATAGATTAATTTCATTTATAGCAAATTTTAAATCTAGTAAAGTAATATTATATAATTCTGTGGATGCATAAACACCTAGTAAATATTAAAATTCTACATAGTGAAAAGAAACATTAAATTACATTAAAGGTCAATGCAAGAAATGAAGAACAGAGCCAGGCTGGGAGGACTCAATTTTAGAATATCTGAGTATCCGAAGTATCAGAAACAAAGGTGGCATTGTGTGAGGACTTAATAATGATTAGTTAGCCTTACACCGGTGGTGTTCCTATTGTTTTCTATTTTTGGCTGTATGTTGGAAACAGTACATAATAAAAAATTAACAAGAGAATCCATAAAAACACTTTTATGACGGGGATGCATAATGGTAAGCAAAACAAAACAATCCTCTAAAAGAAAAGCCTTATGAATGAGGCTTCTATTGGATTGGTACTATCATTCTAAAGATACTTCTTAAAGTAATAATCTGAGATACCCATAGATCTTCATTGCTATATGACTAAAAAAGGGGAATAAGAAGATAAAGTTCCCTGGCCATGGTTTAGAAGTTTCTGGAATACAGCTTGGAAATTATTAAGTGCTATAAAAATCTAACAAATTCTCATTGCCTTACTATCTTTTATAGCTTGGTTCCTGGGTGAGTATTACGGATTGGACCATCTATTCTTTTTTTTTTCAATTAAAGTTTAATGGGGTGACAATGATTAGTAAAGTTACATAGGTTTCGAGGGTACAATTTTGTAATACATCATCTATATATCACATTGTGTTCACCACCCAGAGTCAGTTCTCCTTTTATCACCATATATTTCACTCCCTTTACCCGCATCTACCAACCACCTCCCCCCCTTACCCTCTGGGAACCACTACACTGTTATCTGTGTCTATGAGTTTTTGTTTCTTTATTTGTTTGTCTTGTTCCTTTGTTGCATTCAGTTTTATATCCCATGTATCAGTGCAATCATATGGTTCTCGACTTTTTCTGTCTGGCTTATTTTGCTCAGCATAATAATCTCTATCTAATCCATCCATGTTGTCACGAATGGGTGATCTAGTCTTTATTGATTTTAGAGAGTAATAATAATGACTTCGGGTCTTGTGTTTGAATTTCTGTCCAGTATTTTTGTTTTTAAATCACTGACATGGTAAATGTTAGCAAATAGTTTGACACATACTCCAAGTCTAATATGTGAATTATAAAAAAAAAAAACACTCACTGACAGAAAATAATCTGTTAATTAAAAATCTTCATAATTGGCCAGATAATTAGATATATTATATAGCTGTCACCAAAATGTCTACTTATTTATTAAACAATTTCTTTTGGATAACTTTCCTTATTGCTTCTTTAACATCTTTGTTTCGCAGACTATAGATCAAAGGATTTAACATAGGACTCACAAAGATATAAAACACAGCTATAACTTTCCCCTGTTCTACAGACGCCTCCGAAGGGGGCCTCAAATACATGCAGAAGAGCGTCCCATAAAAGATAGTGACGGCTGTGAGATGGGACCCACAAGTGGAGAAGGCCTTGCGTCTCCCATCAGCAGAGTGAATACGCAAAATGGCTGCAAAAATGAAAACGTAGGAGATGAGAATCATGGTGAGGGAGCAGGTGAGGTTGGAACCAGCCACCACAAACATGGCAGTTTCTTTGACATAAGTATCTGAACAGGCAAGAACTAGGAGAGGTGGCTCCGCACAGTAAAAGTGGTTGATTTCGTTGGGTCCACAGAAGGAGAGACGAAGCATCAGGATGGTCTGTGCCAGGCCGTTTGCAAAGCCATAAATATAAGGAATAGCAACGAGACAGATGCAGACACCTCTGGACATTTTGATACCATATAACAAGGGTTTGCAGATGGCCATGTAACGGTCAAAAGCCATCGCTGTGAGCAAATAATACTCTGTAATCGCCAGGGCAATGAAAAAGTGGAATTGTATAAAGCAACCAGTGATGGAAATGTTTTTTCTCTTGGATAAGAAATTAACCAGCATCTGAGGAGTGATATTGGTGGCATAACAGAGATCTACGAAGGACAGGTGACTGAGGAAGAAGTACATTGGAGTGTGAAGCCTCGAGTCGCTTCTGATTAACAAGATCATGCCCCCATTGCCCACTACTGTGATCAAGTAGATGAGGAGGAATACCACAAATAGGACAGGCTGCAACTCCGCTCGATCTGTCAGTCCCAGGAGAATAAACTCAGTCACTGCTGTGTGGTTTGTCTTGAACATTGCGTTTGCTTGGCTTCAAAGGAGGGCTAAATAAGGGAAAAAGAAAGTCATGTCTTTTGTCATCCATCCTTGATCCCATCATGTCATTTGATATTTCCTCCTGTTCTCGCAAACGTATAAATACATGTGGTATAAAGAAGTACCTGATAATCACACAATTGGTGTTTTAAATATCTAAATTAAGGGGCCGGCCGAGTGGCTCAGTTGGTTAAGAGCACGAGCTCTGAGTAACAGGGTTGCCGGTTCGATTCCCACATGGGCCAGTGAGCTGCGCCTGAGCTGAGCTGCAGCTAAGCCAGCAACAGGTGGCAGGATGGCTCAGCTGGTGAAAGCACGTGCTCCTAACAACAAGGTTGTGGGTTCCACTCCCACATGGGATGGTGGGCTACGGCCACCTGCAACTAAGATTGAACACGGCACCTTGAGCTGAGCTGCCTACGGGCAGCCGGATGGCTCAGTGGTTAGAGTGTGTGCTCTTAGCAACAAGGGTGCCGGCTCGACTCCCACATGAGATGGGTGGTTATGCGCCCCCCATAACTAAGATTGAACACAGCACCTTGAGCTGAGTGGCTACGAGCTACCGACAAGTAGTCAGATGGCCACTGGACTTGGAGCTGAGCTAGCTGCACCTCCACAACTAAGATTGAAGGACAACTTGGCTGTTCCCCTTCCGCAATTCCCCGACACTGTTCCCCTTCCCCAATGAAAACAAAAAATCTTAAAACAAAATATCTAAATTAATATAGAACTCCTCTATATAAAGGTAATCATATTATTTAATTTTTTCTGTATTTTCATATTTAAAAAATCTTTATCTTTTCTGCAAGTCTTTATTATAGTTGATCATTTACAATTTTCTTAAACGTTGCTTTTCTTTGACATTGTAACCCCATTTTTGTCAATATACCTCTTGGTGTGGTAACTAATGCATCATCATTGAAGCTCATCTCTTTTTTTTCTCAGCTGAATGGACTTAGGGAAGTGGAACTGATGTAGGGCACACATCCTTATAGAACTAGGGTCTGCCTACCTGCTCCTCAAAACTCATGCTCGTTTTCAAGCTGTTCCCTCCCCCTGCAATGCATATGCATTTCCCCCACTCTCCTCTACCTCAGGGGGCCCTCTTATCACCAAATTTTATGTAACTTGTAAAACTCAGCTCAGGACCTCCTTTGCTTTGTGTGTTACTGCCAATTAGGGGGCAAAAATTCATTCATGGGTCACAAAAGCAAATCAGTGTTTTTGTATAAAAACAAACATACAGAGGGTGCCAAAAAAAATGTATACACATTTTAAGACAGGAAAAAACTATTAAAATTGTAATGCTCAATATGTACTGATCACAAAACATGAATACAAGTCACATTTGACTTCTGCAACTGGAAGACGTGCTCAAAGTGGTTACCATCAGTGTCCAGACACTTCTGATTACGGCGAACTACTGCTTGAGCAATGTTGACCAAAGTGTCCACTTGTATACATTTTTTTTGGCACCCCAGGTATATACAGATATATAATACCTAAACAATGAGCATATGTGTGTCTGTGTATGTGTGTGATGGTGGCGGGGGGGGGGGGGTATACATATGCACATATATCCATTGCATTAAATATTCATGAGGGGAAGTGACTAAGAAAAAAATGTAAGGTATTAAAAGGCTTCCTGTTGGGGGTGGGGAGATAATCATGAAAGAAAAGGATGATAAATGATCATAATAATTTTGTAACTCTACTTCACTTTAACTCTTTCAAAGTGTAGATTTTTTTAAAAACTCTCCCTAATACTAATTCAATTTAAGTTATTAAAAACAGCTAAAAGGTCACACTGAAATAATCATCATATTACCCATACAGCTGAAAGAGTACATAAGATATCATGAAGCCATCCCCCAAAATTTATGCAACATAAAAGTGACCAGGAACACCATCATGGAAAAATCTACATGCTCCTTCAATAAAACATACCCAGCTATGTCAACGTTATACTGACTCTTGCTAATAGCAACAATGCCAAGGATGGATGGACCCAGGTCACTTGGAAAGCCCTTGGTCCATCAACCACTCCAGCATCCTGTCCATTGCCTTATCCCATTCTGCACTTGAGGACTTTGGACTGGACAACAAGGGTGATCCAATGCAAGATAAGTCACCTAAATCAGCAAAATCATAATAATTCTGTGGTTTTATTTAGGTTAATATTTAAGACTATAGTAATTGTCATAATCAACAAATATTCTCTTGGTGCTGGGACTATATTTAATAAGTCTCTATTATTAAAGCATTAATCAAAAGCCAAAATAATTAATATCTTCACTTTTTTTTTTACTGTCAAGAAATGAGGCAATGCAAGCACTGAGCATTCCAGATAATTTAACTGAGTACTCCATGGTAATAACTTTCCTTTAAAGAAACAGAACACAATACCCTAAATGCAACAGAAACTCAGAAGTATTTGCAAGTGGACAAATTGGCTCTGGGGATCCCTGAGGTTTATATTCTTGACATTCACCCTTATTCAGAGACTTTCTCATGTAGATGCTTGAGATGTAGATGCTGTAGATGCTGTCACTACCAGGAACTCAAAGAGTCTAGAAAGTTGGTCTTTCACTGTAATGAGGATGATATCTTTTTGGCATGTGGTCACGGTTCAATTTGAAGAGAAAAAGAAATTTAGAGAAGGCATCTTCATGAAATGCTTTTCTATACACAATTTTAAATAATTAATATTGATTATAAACCTAAAAGTGGCTAATTCTCCATGAAGCGGTATAGAACATTACATGATATGATGCTTATAAAAAGTAGCATTGTTAACTCAGAAGGAACCAGAAAGACTGTTTAGTACCACCCCCCTTAGTTTTCTTCATGAAGCAAGAGAGAGTAAGCAGGATTAGTTACTGAGGGTCAGCAAAGTCTTTAATGGTTACGGGGCGCCTGCTGTCAGTCTTCCTGGCTACATCTCCCATATCCTCTAATTCCTATCTGTGGGGTTTGGGCAAGACATTCATCACTGTGTGAACTCTGATATTAAGATATGGCATCAAATGGTTGGTAAATTGGCCCAGATTGAATACACCATGTTTGATATCATTCTGTGCCTAAGTTTCCTCATGCATATAATTTGGTAAAACTTTAAAAATATATCTGACATGTAATGAGCACTTCAGTTGTAGCTACAATTATTTTTCAGTGAAAAATCCATGTATAGCCTAAAACAGACTCAGCATCCAGTGGGGGCTCCTTTAGGATAAGGAGTTTATCTAATCTATAGGTATAGCCTCAGGTTCCCAGGACAGTGCTTTCCGACATAGAGGCAATGGATAATTATTGAGGGAAGGACAGTTCTCTTGGTTCTTTCCTTAAAAATACTACTCATTTGTACATTTACTATACATGCACTCTGAGAACAGT